CCAACTGGCTTTTGTGCTTAAGGTAGGACTAGAATTCGCCGTCTCCCGGTGACTGGCCCAGAGTCACCCAACTGGTTTTTGTTCTTAAGGTAGGACTAGAATTCACTGTCTCCCGGTGATTGTGGCCCAGTCACCCAACTGGCTTTTGTGCCCAAGGCAGGACTAGAACTCACTGTCTCCTGGTTTCTAAGCCAGCACCTGAACCATTGTACCAAACTGGCTCTCTTATCTAATATTTGGGACTTTAGCACTGGCTTTTAATCCTTTTTCTTTTCAATGATGTCTTCACCATTGGCCATTTTGGTAAGCCATTCCTTGACTAATGATGCCAATTGGGATCGGAACCTCCATTTATTAAGCAAGACAGTTGTTAAGTGAGTCCAACCTGACTTTATGACTTTTTTCATCGCTCAGTGCATTCCTGCAGTCGTTCGGTTAGTGACATGGTCGCTAAGTGAATCTGGCTCCCCCGTTTACTTCGCTTGTCAGAATGTTGCAAAAGGGGATCACGCACCTCAGGACACAGCAATGGTCAGAAATGTGAACCGGTTGCCAAGCATCCGGATTTTGATCATGGGGAATGCTGCAAAGGTCATAACTGTGGGAAATGGCCGTAAGCCCCTTTTTTTTAGTGCTGTTGTAACTTTGAACAGTCACTAAATGAACTGTTGTAAGTGGGGGACTCCCTATAACGAATCCTGGTATTTATGACCTTTGCAGGTCGATAAACGGAAAAAAAATCCTGAGGACCGTAAGATCCAGTTTCTCATACTGATTCACTTAATAACTGAATCGCCGAGTCCCAATTCTGGTTGCTAAACAAGGACTGTAACGAACTGAATATATATATGCACACTAACTTGATACCCGTGCTTCGCTACGAAACTATGTGGTCAGGCTTAGTTTTTGGGGAGGGGAGAGGGAATAGAACTTCTTAGCATCAGAGCATGTTAATAATATGGGAAATACTCTCTGATGGTCATTGTGAAAAATCCTTTCTTAGTGAGCACCTAGAAGCCAAGAGGAACATACATGCCAAATTTCAAGTCTGTAGGCTTTACGGTTCTGGAGATTTTGTGATGATGCGCAGGTGCTTTTTCGCTTTTATATATATATAAAAGAAGAAGATTGTGAAGAATATACACAATACAAAAAAGGGGGAAAGAAATATCGTGGCGCATTACAAATAACCCCCCCTGGCACAACTGCATGTGCATCACGCCGGTTGAAAAACGCAGCCCTGTTTGCATGGAGCCACAGCTTGGTTTTAATGCCTCCCCTTTTATGGTTTATATGGTTATTGCTACATTAATTTTTATTAATTAGATATTAGCTGCTAGGAGGCTTGGCAGCTGAATGGAAAGCAGAGTTGAGCTGGTAGAAAGATAAAGGGACAGACTGTCAGCACAACCCTGATTATCTGAGCAAGGCAGCATCCCCAGAGATTTCTGCAGGGTGGGTGGTTAAAAAGATAAAAGATAAAATGCAACCGACCCTTCAACCTTACAATAGATCCCTCCCAAAAGGTACAGGCTGTCCTCCACTTACGACCGCAGTAGAGCCCAAAATGTATGTCTGTTAAGTGAGACATTTGTTAAGAGAGTTTGCTCCGTTTCAACGACTGTCCGCGCCACCTTCGTTAAGTGAATCGCCGCAGTGCTTCAATTAGTAACACAGTCGTTAAGTGAATCTGGCTTCTCCCTCCTCCCCCTTGACTTTTCCTTTTGAAAAGGTCATATGACTCCGGGATGTTGCGAGCCGCCATAAATGTGAGTCAGTATGTCAAGTGAACTAAACGGTGTTGTTTCTCTGTTATTATATAATGCAGGGGTCTCCAACCTTGGCAACTGTCAGACCTGTGGACTTCAACTCCCAAAATTCCTCAGCAGGCAAAGACCCCGGCATTATACGACGCGGAGAAACTTGTGGACTTCAACTCCCAGAATTCCTCAGCCTTCTGGGAGTTGAAGTCCACAAATCTTAAAGTTGCCACAGTTGGAGGCCCCTAATATAATGTATATGCATAATTTTGCATTTGTTTATTTGTTTGTTTGTTTGTTTTAGTTGTGTTAATGTCATGTATATTGGAGGTGGTGACCCTTTGGGAGCTGTAGGGAACGAAATTTCATTTTTATGCATGCCGATTAGTGTACATTCAACAGCAATAGCACTTAAAATTTTATACCGCTTCACAGTGCTTTACAGCCCTCTCTAAGTGCTTTGCAGAGGCAGCCTATGGCCCCCCAAAATCTGAGTCCTTGTTTTACCCACCTCAGAAGGACGGAAGGCCGAGGCAACCTGGAGCCTGGTGGGATTTGAACTGCCGAATTGCAGGCAGCCGGCAGTCAGCAGAAGTAGTCCTGCAGAACTGCCCTCTAACCACTGCGCCACCAAGGCAAAGTGACAATAAAGTTATTCCTCTATTCTATTCTATTCTATGTAAATCACACGAGCATAGAGATGCTGTGACGGTCATAAAGCATGAAAAATGGTCCTAAGTGTGAAACATGCCCACGACTCGTTTTTTTTCAGTGCCGTTGCAACTTGGAATGGTGACTAAATGAACTGTTGTTAAGCCGAGGACTAGCTGTACTTACGACCACGTTCCAAAGCTTCATTGGCTTCCCCCTGCCTTCCGTGGTCATGTGATCACATTTTGAACCCTGGGCAATCAATCCGCATTTACAGTTTATCTAGTTGGGTCATGCAACCCTCCTCCTCCTCCTCCTCCTCTCCACAAACCCCGCTCATTTCTAGCCCTGATGATGTTACCTAGTTGGGTCATGAAACGTCTGCAAGAAAACAGCCCAACTCAGAGAGCACCAAGGACCCCACGGTCCTTCTCCACAAACCCCACCCATTTCTAGCCCTGATGATGTTACCTAGTTGGGTCATGAAATGTCAGCAAGATAACCACCAAACTCAGAGAGCACCAAGGACCCCACGGTCCTTCTCCACAAACCCCGCCCATTTCTAGCCCTGATGATGTTACCTAGTTGGGTCATGAAACGCCTGCAAGAAAACAGCCCAACTCAAGAGACCACCAAGGACGCCACAAATCAGAATATCCTCCATTGAATTTAATACCCAGCGGTGTAAGACGGCTACGTCTCTTTCTCCCTTTATGTACCCCCCAAACCACCAGCTGGGACTTAGGGGTCACATTTGTTTGCCCTAAATTTTGCAACGGCCTTCCTGCAAAGGAAAAGCCCACCCACCCCCCTGCCCAACAAACCCAGCCCGTGTACCCCTCCTCCCCATAAGAGATGCAAAGACACGAAGGAAAACCAAGACAATTTGAACAACAACAAAAAAAAAAATACAATTTCCCAGGACGCAGCAAAATCCATCAAAGTTTGCAGGAGTCGAGGCTCAGCTCGGTAAATAATGAATGATCTCAAGAAGAATCTTGCAAAAAAAAAAAAAAGGAAGCGGGGTACAAAAAGGATTCAGACAGATTTGCAGCAAACCGGGCGAGGAGGGGTGTGTGTGTGTGCGTGTGTGTGTGTGTGTAGAACCAGGAAGAAGCAAGGCATCCATTAGGATCCGATTTAGACAGCAGGGCCTTCTCTCCCACCCTCGATTACGGCCCTCAAATCAAATATTAAGGAAAAAGCAACCACTGAGTCGCCACAAAGGCCTCGGGGCAATTGCACTGGAGCCAGCATCATCGTTGGCAATTTCCGAGGGCATAAAAAAAAAACCTCTCTTGTTTCCCACCACCACCACGTATACGATGCGCAAAGCAGAGCATTCAAAAATACGAGGCATCCTTAGATTTTTTTTAAAAAAAAAAAAAAAGGGGGGGGGGATTTTTAAACCGCCGGAAATCGTCAACGCGACCGATCCGAGTGACGTTCCTTTGGAGACCGCCAGCATTTTGAAAGAGCAAATGAGGCAAAGAAATACGGAAGGTCCTCGGCTTACGACTGCAATTGGGGTCGGAGTTTACTAGGTAGTATATATTGGAGGGGGGGTGACCCTTCTGAGGGCTGGAGGCAACAAAATTTGATTTTAATGTATGCCGATTAGTGTATGTTCGAAGGGACAATAAAGTTATTATTCTATTCTATATTTTATTCTATACTCTATTCTATTCTGCATTCTTTTCTCTTCTCTATTCTAATCCTGCCTAAGCAGGGGGTTGGACTAGAAGACCTCCAAGGTCCCTTCCAACTCTGTTATTCTATTCCATTCCATTCTAATTCTATCCTATCCTATATTCTATTCTATTCTGTAATCCTATTCTGTTCTCTATATTGTATTGTATTCTATTCTTTTCTTCAGAGTGTCGTGGAATTAATCTATGTATATAAAAGCGAAATACCACTCACACATCATCACAAAATCTCCAGAACCGTAAAGCCTACAGACTTGAAATTTGGCACGTATCTTCCTCTTGGCTTCTAGGTGCTCACTAAGAAAGGATTTTTCGAAATGACCACCAGAGAGTATTTCCTATATTATTAACATGCTCTGATGCTAAGAAGTTCTATTCCCCCTCCCCACCTGGAAGGATATCTGTCCCAAATGCAAAACACAAGCAGAGGAGGAGTTTTAGTTTCAGTTTCAGACCAGCAAGCAGCTTTAGGTCAGAACAGTTGAGCTAAGCCACGCCCAGGCTCCTTGCTGTCTCCTCCTTGCTCACACAGCTAATACTATTTCACTTTCCAAACAGCCCTCCACTTTCTCACACACTGACAGGATGCTAGCCAGATGAATACCAATGGATGCTGGTAGGCAGAGGCAGAATTCCCCCCCCCCTTATTTTCCTCCCCAAAAACTAAGCCCGACCCCATAGTTTCGTAGCGAAGCACGGGTATCGAGTTAGTGTGTATATATATATTCAGTTCGTTACAGTCCTTGTTTAGAAACCAGAATTGGGACTCGGCGATTCAGTTATTAAGTGAAGCAGTTAGTATGAGAAAGCGGATCTTACGTTCCTCGGGATTTTTTTCCCGTTTATCGACCTGCAAAGGTCATAAATACAAGGATTCCTTATAGGGGGTCCCCCACTTACAACAGTTCATTTAGTGACTGTTCGAAGTTACAACAGCACTGAAAAAAAAGGGACTTACGGCCATTTCCCACAGTTATGACCTTTGCAGGATCCCCATGATTAAATCCGGATGCTTGGCAACCGGTTCATATTAGTCTGACCGCTGTGGCTTATGACAGATGCAGTGTCCGGACGTTACGTGACTCCCTTCTGACAGGCAAAAGTCCACGGGGAAAACCAGATTCACTTAACCATGTTACTAACTTAACAGCTAGGGGGGTTCGCTTAACAACGGTGACAAGAAAGTTCGTAAAGTGGAGCAAAACTCACTTAACCAATTTCTCACTTAGCGATGTATGTTTTGGGCTCAACGGTGGTCCTAAGTCGAGGACTCCCTACTGGTGAAAAAGGTTGTAATTCATGATCACACACAACCTTCTGCACTATGCAGGAAAAAAAAAAAGGTATTCTAAAGGCATGGAGTTGGAAGGTTCCCTACAGGTCATCTAGTCCAGCCCTTGAGGGGAGTGTGCAGAAAAAAAAATACAGAATTCTAAAATAGTGGAGCCGAAAGGCATCCTAAAGATCATCTAGTCCAAACTTTTGCACTCTGCAGGGAAAAAAAAGCATTCTAAAGTCGTGGAGTTGGAAGGTTCCCTAAAGATCATATAGTCCAACCTTTGTGCTTCCCAGAAAACCAATTCAGTCACAGAAGTGGCCGTCGGTCTCTTCAAAAGCACCAGAGTTTCTCAACACCTAGAAGTAAAGTTTGTCTAATCTTGTACAACTCCCAGCAATGAGAAGTTTCTCCTTAAAACACAGAGAAGTGTGCCAGAGAAGTGTCAAATGATCCAGATTCGCCAAAAACCACAATTAGTCTCTTTGAAAACCTCAACAGGAGACAGAAAAGGGAATCCTACATACCCCGATTGCCACATTCAGTTCTGCCACCGTCACCTGCTTGGCCCGCTCCACCGCCTGGACTACTTGTTGTTGGTGCTACCGAAAAACAAAAGGGGTTGAGGAACATGATTATCATTCACAAAACTTTGGATACTCTGAGTCTATTTTAAATCATCATAGTGGTGGGTTGATCTTTCTCCTTTACGTCCAAGGTGCCCAGAATCACTTCATAGACTAGAACTCCCAGTCTCCTGGTGATTGGCTCAAAATCGCCCGACTGGCATTCATCCCTTAAGGCAGGACTAGAACTCCCAGTCTCCTGGTGATTGGCTCAAAGTCACCCAGCTGGCTTTCATCCCTTAAGGCAGGACTAGAACTCCCAGTCTCCTGGTGATTGGCTCAAA